GGGGGGGGGGGAATGTGACACCATGAGTGGGAGCCATCTGACTTGTAAATATTTCAGACTTTAAAAATATTAGGTCATCCAAATTGGAAAGGAAGAAGAAAAACTGTATTCACAGATGACATGATATAGGAAAATCCTAAAGAATAATAAAATTATTACAGCTAATTGAATTGAGCAAAGCTGAAGGATACAAAAATCAATACCGTAAAGTCAGTTTTATTTCTATAACTATCAATGGACAATCCGAGAGTGAAATTAAGAAGAAAATTCCATTTACAATAGCATCAAAAAGAATAAAATAACTTTAACCAAGGAAGTGCAAAACTTGTATACTAAAAACTACAAAACGTTTCTGAAAGAAAGGAATCCTAAATAAATGGAAAGGCATCAGTCTCTGCTTCCGGCTACTTGGGCAATCAACCAAGACAATTCAGTAAGATCACCCGTGGTGAGAGAGAGCCCATGTTGTTGGGTCCATGCATAGCCTTCATCCCTGCTACGATGACCACTTTGTTGATGTGCTCAGTGTCAAGTACCTAAGTGGCGCATAGAAAGGCTGCCTAAAATCCACAGGACCATCTTGCTGTGTACTTAATTGTTAAGAGTCTCCTCTGTGGTACATGTTCTCTTGTGAGCATTAATGTGAGACACAAAGAAACCATGTATTGTACCTACTCCTACAGTGTCTATCCACATAATATCCACCCAGACCTCAGTGTCACTTGTCTTCCAGTCATTTCTTTTAAGGCCCAGATCAACCAATTAAGACTTTTGGCTCTGCCAGAGAGTCAATATGTAACAGTAACTCAGGCTACCTCTCCTTTCACATGAATTGAAAAATTAAACAGATGTCTCATAATTCTGTGCACTGGGAAAATTTCCCTTCACCAGTGTCATTCAGAGCCAAACCTAAGTGGGGCTGTTATGCGACAATTCACTTACGGCTAGTTCCAATATATATTGCACTAGCCCACCTGTGAACCAGGCATAGATATGTCAGTTGGTCATAAGAAACTCCCCTGAGGTCATCAGTGAGATTATTAGTGCATCAGAGATAAGTGACATAGAAGGCTACACTACCTAACATACAATTTATGTGTGTCTCCTGGACTTTGCTGGAGTCTGAATGTATCACTTCCTACATACACTGAAACATTGAAGCCCTTGCCCAGCCTTATTACTTGGTTGACTAGATAATCCTCAGTTCAGGCCACATTGGCAATTAGTGTACATTGGTCAGATGTTTGGTCTTTACTAAGACCCAGTAGCACACTAGGACCTATTGTTTTGTTTTACTTTATTTTATTTAAAGATGGTTTTATTTATTTCAGTAAGAGGGAGGGAGAGGGCGAGAGAGAAACATCAATGAT